TAACAACACTACACTACCAACACCACTATTGCTCCCACGCTGTCTACCGGCTACCATGTACTTCGTTTTGGTAGAACTTATCGTGAGCCCAATCCTCGCCGTCTCCCTCTTAAAAGGCACAAACGCCTCTTCCACTGCTCTACGGTCAATTCCGATGATATCAATGTCGTCCGCAAAGGCAAGGAGCATGTACGATCGTGTGATGATGGTACCGTTCCTCTGCACACCAGCTCTCCTAATCGCTCCTTCAAGAGCAATGTTGAACAGTAAGTTTGAAAGTGCATCACCCTGCTTCAATCCATCTAAGGTCACGAACGAGGTCGAAATCTCATCTGCAACCCTTACACTTGATTTCGATCCATCTAGCGTTGCGCGAATCAGTCTAATTAGTTTCGCCGGAAAACCATGTTCTAGCATAATCTGCCAAAGCTCATTTCTCTTCACTGAATCGTATGCTGCTTTGAAATCAATAAACAGATGGTGAGTCTGCAAGTTGTACTCCCGGAATTTATCAAGGATTTGACGCAGGGTAAACATTTGATCCGTCGTTGATCGGCCCTCACGAAAACCAGCCTGGTATTCACCGACGAAGGACTCCTCAAGCGGTCTCAATCTGTTAAACAGAACGCGTGACAGTATTTTGTACGCCGAATTCAGAAGAGTTATTCCTCGATAATTGGCGCACTCGAGTCTGTGCCCTTTTTTGAATAATGGGCAAATGAGGCCATCCAACCAGCTAGCAGGCAGTTCTTCATCCTCCCATATCTTCGTTAGAATACGGTGGATTGCTTGATGCAGCTGCTCACTTCCGTGTTTGAAAAGTTCGGCCGGGAGCTCGTCCTTCCCAGCAGCCTTATTGTTTTTCAGCTCACGTATTGCCTTTTTAACCTCGTCTAGCGTTGGAGGCTCCACAGCTTGATCGTCGTCTGCGATGTTTACTCTGTTCCTCGATACTCCCTCACTCTCTCCATTCAACAATGTCTCAAAATGTTCTTTCCACCTGGCAGCCACCATTGTTTTATCTGTCAGCAAATTCCCCTCAAGGTCATTGCACATGGCGGGAGATGGCGCTGTTTTACTCCGCACACCATTGACAGTCGCGTAGAACCTTCGCATATCGTTCTGTTCCATACTTTCTTGCGCCTCAGCAATCACGCGTTCTTCGTATTGCCTTTTCTTTCTGCGGTGGGTTCGTTTCTCAGCTGCCCTTGCTACCTTGTACCGCTCTCTGTTCAGCCGGGTACCAGACACTAACATCCGGCTTCCGGCAACGTTCTTCTCATCCGTCAACCTCTGGCACTCCTCATCAAACCAGCCATTACGTGGTCGTCTTTGAGCTGTACCTATCACTTCTTGTGCTGTTGTGTTCACCGCTCCGTGGATTGTGTTCCACAGATTGTTGAGGTTCTCGTTCACGTTGATTTCGCTAATCCGCTCATCAAGCTTCTGGCGGTACTCTGCAGCAACACCTTCTACTGACAAGCGATGGATATTGAAACGCATCGATCTCCGGTTCGTTGAATTCGTAACGGTCGATAGACGCGCCCGAATTTTGCAGACAACAAGATAATGATCTGAGTCAATGTTAGGCCCCCTAAAAGTCCTTACATCAATGACATCTGAGAAGTGCCGGCCATCCACCAACATGTGATCGATCTGGGTGCAAGTTTCGCCATTTGGGTGTCTCCAGGTGTGCTTTCGGATATTCGTGCGTGCAAAGTAGGTGCTACTGATGGACATACCTCTAGCAGCGGCGAAGTTTATCAGTTTCAGGCCGTTATCATTGGTTACTGTATGTAGGCTCTCTGTACCAATGATTGGACGAAAGAAATCTTCCCTCCCGACCTGCGCATTTGCATCTCCGATTACAATCTTCACGTCGTGTTTTGGGCACTCATCATAAGTTTTATCGAGACTGTCATAAAACGCGTCCTTCACGTCATCGGATTTATCGTTGGTTGGCGCATAGATGTTGATCAGGCTGTAGTTGAAGAATTTGCCCCGAATCCTTAATACACAGATGCGGTCGCTTACCGGTCTCCACCGCATAACACGCTTCATCTGCTTCCCGATCACTATGAACCCTACTCCATGTTCTGCCCTATCGCCACCGCTGTGATAGATATGATACTTGAAGGAAGTGTTGGCGATGGGATCCACCGCCCGGAATTCACGTTCTCCGGATCTAGGCCACCGTACTTCCTGAATAGCAGCTACGCTCACATTCACTTTTTGCAGTTCACGAGCCAAAAGGCCCGCTCGTCCAGGTTCATTTAAGGTTCTGACATTCCAAGTACCGAGTTTCCATTCATTGTCCTTATTTCGTTGCCGGGTCGGTTGCCGAAAATTCCGTTCGTTGTTTGCTCTTTCTTCGTTTTTCTGAGTAATGTTGGGGGTTTCAGTATGCTACCTTACCGGGGTCGCGATACCTACATCATGTTGGTGGGGCTGCCACCTTAGGTGTAGCTGACGTGATACAGCATTTCTTATTCAGCCGCTCGCTCCGAGACAGACGCTGTTTGAGCCGCACCTCCATGCTGAACAGACGCTCGAGGGTCGCACCTCCTCACTTTGCTATCACCACGATCCGGATCCATGTTTTTATCGTGGTGACATTGCCCAGGCTACGCTACCAGCATCTTTTGCTGGCGGTCTTTGTCATCGGCTGACCCGTGGAAGCGTGAGGTAGGAACTTGTGAGGACCAGAGCTGTTGGGACAACACTCCTTCCAGTTTGTCGACTCACCATTTGTAGCCCAGTTATAGACCTTACTTCGTCCAAATCAGTCCCCCAGGAATCATCAAAAATATTTTCCCGAGAGAAAATATTCAGAAAATCCCGAGCAACCTGATTCTCAATAGGACTAGTAAGACCCAAGCTGAAATTATGGGAACTCTCGAATTGCTTAGCAAGTTTCTGGGCTTTTTCCAAATTTGTGATCAAAATTTTACCACCTTCTTTAAGCGGTGGAATTGGCTTTTGAGGTTTTTTTTTCAAAATTTTTGTGAGTTTCCAAAAGGGTTTGGAACTTGGGTCTAATTTAGAAATATTATTTTCAAAAGTTTTGTTCCTCAGGGCAGATAATCGCTTTTTAATTTGGTTTTGCAAATCCCACCAGAAAACTTTTATGGCAGGATCGCGTGTTCTTTTATATTTTTAAGACGGATCAAGAGCTGAAGATCGTCGTCTATTATAATTGAATCGAATTTAACCTCGCATTTTGGTACTGAGGCAGCTCTTGCTTCAACTATAGAAGTAGTCAGAGATTCAAGAGCATAATTAATTTCATCTTTGGTTTGCAAAGGAATGTTTGGATCGAAGTTATGTTCCATAAATGTTTGATATTGCTCCCAACCAGCTCTTTGGTAATTGAAAGTAGAGCTGTTGGGATTATTTCTTGAGATATTCCAAAAGCTACTGTAAGGTGATTAGAACCGAAGTCAGCATGGGTAACCAATTGGCTACACAGTTGACATGAATCAATAGTTGTGGGATTTCTTGCTTGGGGCCTCCCTTAGCTCAGTCGGTAAAGGCGCAGCTACAAAGCAAGACAATGCTGGAGGTGGCTGGGTTCAATTTCCGGTCCGGTCTAGGAATTTTTTGGGTTGGAAAATTTCTCGACTTCCCTGGGCATAGAAGTATGATTGGACTTGCCACACAATTATACCAATGCAAAAATGGTAAAGGCGTCGAAAGCTCTCAATTAATAACTGTGGAAGTGCATCTAGAAAACTAAGTTGAGAGCACGCAATAAGCTACTATGCGATATGCAATAAGCTTGAAATATTTTTTTTTTCCTTTGGTTTGTTTTTTTTCCGTCGATCTTGTTTTCCGTGCTGAGCACCAATGCTACCGACGTGCCAGGAAGGCAGCTCTCACACCTGGACCCTACCTATCGACCCATCAACTCATGAACCGGGGACCAACGGTTTTACTTCCCATCCGAAGGAAGGCGTGATCAGAGATGTTATGCCTCAGAACATCCCGGCGGCGCCGACTGGGATTGAACCCAAACCTGCTGGGGTGAGAGGTAATCACGCTTACCACTACACCACCGGTGCCGTTAAGCTTGAAATACGAAGAAGAAAAATAAGAAGAAGGGATTTCTTGTTTAAGAAAGGCATGTTGGGATTTTTGGATATTAAATAGTGTAATAACCTGCAGAATAATCATCAAACAGAATATTACGTTTAGAATTATTCCATGAGCGGTGTTTTGCAGTAAAATCAACCTCTAGAACATTCTTCTTGGAATGGCAAATAGGCAGCTATAAACGTAAGTTGTCCAAATTTTGTTTCGACAGAAACTCCCAAAGTTTCAAAAACTTTGGTTTCAACTGTAGAAAGAATTTGATGTTTGATTGATCTCAGAATATCTCAAAATACAATGAATGTTGGAACCATCCTCATACTCTTTACACGTATTTTCTGAAAAATTTGCTTGAATCATCTCAGAATACCCTCAGAGTTCATCTCAGACCTCTTCCTGGTATTTTTTTTATAAATTGCCCAATAATACCATAGAGGTTACTCTAAGACCAGAAGGTCCCGAAGAAACGAGCTCAATTTTTTGGCTCAGCTCTGGTACTATCTTCGGTCCCAAGCTAATCGATGCACCCCTCGAAACATAGGAAAAACCAATAACCCCTCATTTTATCTGTCAAACTTTCATAGCGAATCAAAACAAACATAGTGTAGTACTAAAATTTTGACATTTTTTTCATTACAGACATTTACATACTTTTTAGTTTTTTTCACAGATATTTAAGTCTTTTGTAATCAAGGGAAAATTTTAAAATTTATTTGGTTATACTGTTTCACATCTTCACGCATTAGAAATTCGCGCGTTTTCAAATCCACCAAACGAGCTGTCACTGTTATAGACGGTCATAGTTAGAGACCTGTCAATGTGCTTCCATGTTGTGTCCCATACGAACATTTAATTTTTTTTCCATACGATTTGACGGTTTGTTTTCATCCTATTCCATCTTTTTATTCAAGAACACCCACCACCGAATGCAGTTTTCGAAATAGCCATTTTCGCCGTTTTGTACCTGACTAAGAGTCGTAAAAATGTGGAATAAAAGGAGAAAAATCGAAGGGAGCGAATTTTTCGAAGAATCAGGTAAGCTATAAGTTATGTTTGTTTAATTTCTGAGTCTAAGCATTAAATTTGTGTAGGCACTGCTGGTTCCGATGCTTTATCCAAAACCGCTGGTCAGAATCAATCCATCGATGATCCGATTCAATCCACCGGTGGTCCAAGTCAATCCACCAGTGGTCCAAGTCAATCCGTTACTCTACAATCAACTTCACAATCTGACTATCATCATGCAGGCGGCTCCCGTAAGTGTATACAGTTGTATTTTAGAACCACGTTTATTTTATTATTTGTATCATTTATTTATAGACTCAGATGGTTCAAATCAATCTGCTGCGCCACCATCGACTGTTGGTCTGAGTCGATCCGAATCTGGGCCAAGTCCAGCCACCGATAGTCCGACAATTGTCAATACCGCTGGTCCGAGTTCAAGTCGCTCCACCGCTGACGATTACGTACCACGTTCACGTAAGTTAAATTTAAAATTTAATCATGCGTAGCGGCACAATCAGCGTGTGTGACCTTAAGGGGGAAATCAAAAAAAAAAAGATTAAACAAAAACGAAGTAGGGGAAATGACTCTAATATTGGGCCTATGGATCTAATATTGGGCCCATCGCTAAAAATCTAATATTTATCAATTTTATCTAGATGATTGCGTCATTGTGACGGTACTAATGGATATTTTTGGTTGGTATTGAAAATTCATTCGAATGCTGAATTTATGTATGGGCCCAAATTAGGGGCATTTAGGCCGAAATTACATCCATTTCCCCTATGTCACAAATTTGTTTTGGCAAGATGAAAAAATATACATTGTCAGGGATTTTTCTATTTGGTCTACATTCAACTGCATGTAACATTTTTTACAACCGATATGACCCCTGGGTGACCTTGGAGTCAAATAAATAAATTTCAATGAGGTTTTATGGAAAATCAAAATAAATTCTTTCACTGATCATTATGTTAAGTTCCATCGTATGGTGAGGTATCGTACGATGCATTTCGGCGCTTGTCAGAATTTGTCCACTTCCCGGGGGTACCTGGTACATCTTTCTTTGCCATTGTGATCATTGGGTCTGAATATGTTCACCATTGATGTTATAGTAAAATTTTAATGTGATTTGAGGTGTCGCATGATGAGGTTTTGATATATCAATCTTTTTCGAATTTCCCAGTGCAATCTGGAATTCTCATTTTTGTTTATATCTTCGGAACCATAATTCCGATCGGTAAAAATCAAACCCTGATTCTTATTCATCAACATTTTTTGAGCACGAAGTGTTTAGAATCGTATTAATATGCTTGTAAATCGCTCTTTTGAATGTCGATTTCTCCATATTAAGGTGGTGGAAAGTTGAATCTCTCACTAACATATGCTCCTTCTCCCGCTGCTGGCGTGCAAAAGGCCAGTACTAAGTAATTTACGGATTTCCACACTACATGGCATATAAGATTGACTCAAATTTAATATTAAATTACTCAAACTCTAGAAAACGTCATTTACTTGTAGACTGAGTAAAATTTTCCGAGCCTCATAAATCTTTTCGAATATGAGAAAAATCGACGAAAAATTTACTCACGCTACAAGTAGGATAGAGCACTACTTCCTCGTAATCGCCCATTTCCGTTCTATCTATCATAAAATATCAATCATATCAATGATTTCATCATGCACAAGTCAATAATAGGTTTGTTCCGATGCGTTAGTTCATTAGCTACATCATAAATCCCATTAGAGCGCATTGTATGAAAATTTACACTCATTGTTCTCAAAACAAAAGAAAGCGCTTATCCGTAGGACGTTTATCCGTAGGACGAAGAAAATCTAATGGCGTTTCAATGCGTTAGGACGGAATTGAAACTCGTAGACAGTGATGCCACATATACAGATTTATCTGTAATCATACAGATTTTTGTCAATATTTTGATACAGATATCTGTATATACAGATTACAGATTTTTCAAAAATATACAGATTTTTCAGATTTTTCAAATGAGGGGAAAATATGTTATACTAATTTTTATATTTTTTAATTCCGAATAAAAAAAATTTTCTTACTTTTGAGCAGCTTGAATTCAATCTGACTATCAAACCCAAATCGTCTTTTTCACTAAATAAATTATCATTGTTTTAGCTTCGAATGGACTTGAAATCTTTTGAATGGACTTCTGATGTTCAGATGCTCTGATTTCTCGTTGGAAGAAATAGTAATTTTTCTTTCTATTTGTCGAAGAGTCAACTGGGTATATTGATATTTGATTAACAAAATTTCAGAAATAAAGAATATTGCAAGTGGCAATCAAATCTGCACACTGTACCGAAACACAGCATGACACATTGTTCGGCACATTAAGGCACACTTTGACAAGGAAGACACAAACAATATAATATAAAACGGTACCACTGTTGAGTGTTGACATTTTGTCAATCGTTTCTAAGGTTTACTACTCGGGTCAATATTTTGTTTACTCACAAACGAAACTAGTGGGAGAATGTCATACATAAAACTGGTGATACAAGGATTCAATCAAGAAGTTGTAAACGAAAAACGGATACCCACTGGTGTTGAGGATCATTCGACAAAATTTTTAAGTATTGTCTGAATCGTGAATCTCTTCAAACCTAGCAAAACTAAGTCCATCTCTTCCGATTTCCACAGCAAAAATCACAGCGGATCGAGTTTTCATCTAGAACAGCTTCTATCAGGGCCTCACTTCAGTCGAGTTCATCTATGTACACCATGGCCGGTCTAGAGCGTCTTGTCGATACGGCAGTCAAGGTGGTTGAAACGGGTTTCCTCTAGAGACGATTTGTTTTCGATTGAGGATGAAATCATTGTGAAAAATGCCCAATGGTTGCCTTTAATGATAAATTCGAACGGCCACACCAACAATTTTATCAATATCAAGCAAATGGATCCCAACTATGCAACAGGGATGGCAGAACACCTGCACTATTATGTCATTCGTATGAAAATAAAAGTACCATGCATCCTGCGAAGATCGGATTTAATTGTGGAGCGATGAGCATCGGGCATCTATAGTTTGATGAATCTTCATATTCACTATTGGAAAAGTTCACCAAAACGCACTAGGACTCCCGAACTTTTTCCTTGATGAACTTCGTGAAATATCGTGAATTTTTTTTCCAATGCTGCTCACATTCTAGCCCACATGCTGTCCCACTGGAGGCTTTATACCAGAACACACTTCTTATTTTTGAACATTACATTTGATACTGTCATGTGTATCCAATCTCGAAGCGTACAACGAAGGATCAGAACAATATCTTCTGCGAGAGTTGAGGTACATCAACAATTTTGTTATACATAATGAACACTAAAGAAGAAAACAAGTTAGGGGCGGCTAGATTTGGCTCCCGGTCTTGCCGAGTATCTTTGGGACGGAAATTTTCACATTTTCTCCTGCGTTTTTCCTCGGGTATTGTTGTCAGTCATTAGTCTTAATTGGTGTGGTCTTTGATAGGACAACCACAGGAATTTAAAGCGATGTCCATAGAATATTGAAAGGTGTATTTGTAATGCTATATGCTCTTGAATCACCAATGCCCACGTTTGTCATCTGTGTGGAGCTGACTGGATTGGGCGAAACGCCTGATAAAGCACTTCCGCTGAAGTCTGTGGTTGCAGACAATCCTAATTTCAACTTATGACAGTTCTTCAGGGGAAGGTATCATAGGTAGCGATACGATAGACTTGGGTTATATCTTTGAGGACACGCACTTCTGAGTCGATCAGATGATTTAAAACTGGTTCGACGATGTTGCTCCAAGCGTGGGATTGAACTATGCTTGGTTTGATGGTTTGCAGTTCCTCTTCCACCTCCCGACCCGCTAATGATCTAATGAGAATGGAGGTGAATGTCTACCATGATCCATCAGAGAAATTGAGAATGTAAACAAAATTATAAAAGTCATAACTTTCAGGGTTGCCAAACACCTTGATAAGCATACTTTAATTGTCCTTGATTAGGTACGTTCAGCAGAGCGCTTGGCACAGCTTTTGACATAACTTATAACTCGGCACGAATTAAGGTGTGCAGAGTTGAACACCCCTTGGAATATTGCATACAATTCGACTAAACTTCCAGTAAAAGTTTTGTGTTAAAACTTATTGAAAAATTACGGAGTTGAAAAAAAAAACAAATGCCCAGATAAAGGTTGTCATTATTACAGACATACAAAAAATAAAATTCTAGAAATTGTGATAGTTACTTCATTAAGAAAATCTTCAGCCGGAAACAAATTCGCCTCTCACAACTGGAACTTAATGTTTTATATTTTCAATCTATAGAAAAGATACACATCACTTAAAAAAATTTTGTAGGATTTCAGGATTTTTCAAATAGACAAATTCTTTAGAAAGCATGGCTGTGATTAGAAATTTTTCAAGATTCTTAACTTTGAACAAAGTCCTTCTAAACTATGAATTAACTCAATGGAGATTTACGTATAGCTGCACCAAGACCAAAATAAAGAAATTTTACAGATTTGTTTACAGATTTTTGTCAGTCAGATACAGATTAAAAAGATTTTTTGCGATGAAAATACAGATTGAAAATCAAAAAATGTGGCATCACTGCTCGTAGAACGAATTTAGAATCAAAAGGCAGTATTCAGTCCGCATCGCGCTCTCTTGCCGTGCGGATCTATTTGCTTTTTGCTGAAGGAAGTGATACTAGGGTTTTTGATTTAATTTCCTTCATACTAAGCACAACCCACGCTTTATCTCTCTTTTCTGAAAGAGTTTGAACGAAAAATGGAATATTTTTGTCAAAGATGATTTCTAAATTTATTCACCTTTCCATACGTACCGTTGGATTTGATAAAGAGTCACAAATTGTTGAGATATTGTTTAAAATCTAATACTGCGTCTTGATTCTAAATTCGTTCTATGAGTTTCAATTCCGACCTAACGCATTGAAACGCCATTATATTTCCTTCGTCCTACGGATAAACATAGGAAAAAGGGATTCGCTTGGAGCGCTTCTTTTGTTTTGAGAACAATGAACGTTAATATTCATGAATAATGAACTAACGCATCGGCACAAACCTATTATTGATTTGTGCATGGTGAAATCATTGATATTATCGATCTTTTCTGATCGATAGAACGGAAATGGGCGATTACGACGAAGTAGTGCTCTACCCTACTACCTATAGCTACAATGAATTTTAACAGCACTTTTCAGTGCCCAATAAACCTATAAATTTTCTACCTTGTTCAACTCTTATTCCTCTACGACCCTTCAGATTCTTATAGTAATCTGCTTGGAATTCGATCTGGATACAAATTTACTGCCGCCATGGCGTCTAAGCGCAAAAGAAAAGGGCAAACTCTTGATCCCCCTTCTGATGAAATTAATTTGAGCAATCAATTTGATTTGCTCACGGATGATGAGAATGATCCATCATCCAGAAAAAATTCTAATAAACTTTCCCGGCTT